TTTTGACGAGTACTCCCAAGCGTAAGAGAATAGTATCATGTAGTAACTTGAACATAATTCTAAGGTCATCTCTTCGGGGAAAGATTTGGAATCCAAGGTGATGAAAAATAAAAGGAAAAAATTCTTTGAACTTTGAGAGTTGGAAATTAACTACTAATGAAAACGAAATTCAACAATTGGAAAGACTAGATAATCTTCAACATTCATCCCACGTATGAATAAGAATTTCTACCCTAAATCTATAACTCATATGCTTTTGTTCAAACTAGTACAGACAGATGATTTTTCAACTAAAATCTTTGGGGAGTATCAAAAGTAGCAATTGGAAAATAATTTATGATGAAAGAATCAATATCCTAAAGGTTGTAGAAAACACTACTAACTATCTATACCAAAACTAATTATATATAGATAATCGAAAGTATGCAAACCAAATAGGTTTTCAGAAGCATAACTTATTCAAACAATCATATAAACGCTAAAACCCTAGTTTTAAGGCATCAACCCTAATTCATAGGTTGGGACTCCTCATTCAGATTATCCATAGAAAGACTACTCATTAATGATAATTTAAACAACAAAATATTAAAGAAGACATAATTAAATTCAGAAAAGTAAAAATTGGCTTAAAAGTAAATGCTTGTATTGAAAAACTGAATTTAAATAAAGCTTTGAATATTGAAGACAATGAATGTAAGATTGCTAGACAATTGAAAGAACAAAACTTAAAAGAAAGAACAGTAGCAAAACTCTCCAAATAACCGTAACACTCTCTAAACGTAAAAAACAAAGAAAACTAAAGAAAGGCTCCAAAAATTAATGTTTTTATTCTCCATCAGGTCTTCTATTTATTCTGGTAGGAAGGAGAATCTTTAGATCTTTGACATATATCCATCCTAAAATTATCTCCTCATCTGATTGGTTAAGAATTCCCAAAGATTTAGCAAAATTTGATCTTTAATTGAGCTTCCCGTGAAAATCTGTTTTTACCTACTGGTAACAACTCCTTCTGTAGCACAACCTACTGGTAGAATAGTAAAACCTACCGGTAGAACTTCTGCACTATTCTTCTGTAGCTCAAGCTACTGGTAGAACCTTTATCTTTCTACCTTCCTACGGTACAACACCTATTATTAGAACTTCCTCTTTTTTCCAAAATAACTTTCAAGGTTCTCGGTTTCTTCTTCTCTGGATCATACTCAATCCCAACTTGTCCCTTGCCATCACGTTAATGCTTAATCTCAAAATTTACACGTAAACTACTTTCAAACATAGAAATCAAAGCATAAGACACAATATGCACTAAGTGGAGCAAGTTAGTTTGTTAGCAAGCCTAAAACGAATATGTTAAGTTATAAAATAATACAATATTGAGCACTCAACACTAGTGTAACAATCCAAGACATGAGACAGTCTCCTATAGCCATGACAGAGTGCGCCAGAAGATTGCTCTACATTTCTACTGATGGTGTTCCAATTGCATCTAAGACTGTGAACCTTTACTCGTATCATACAAGAATCTAATAATCTGATATTCTGTGTATAAGCTGAACTCTACACACCAGATTATCTATAATGTAAAATAAAAGACACACAGGCATAATAGATATTTAATATAATGCAAATATTTTACCCATACAGATTCTCAATAAGAAATGAAGAACTTGTTTTAACTAATAAAATTGAGTTTCATTACTAAAAGTAGGCTTTTAGTGTATAACTCTATCACTATATGCATCTAAAGGACCAAGAGAAGGCCTCTTTCATTACTGAGTAGGGGCTATATTGCTATCAGTTAATATCTTTCGGCTTGAAGAATGTTAGAGAAACATATCAACTTCTGGTCAATCACATCTTCAAGAATTTACATCCACAACATGTTGGTAAAAAGCTAGGTTGCGGAAGACCCTATTACTTAATTAGATTAACCTTTTCAAATCATAAGAAAGTATCAAATAAAACTGAATCTAGCTAAGTGTGCCTTTGGATTATCCTCTAGAAAGTTCCTGGGTTTTATGGTGTTTCAAAAAGGGATAAAGGTGAATACTGACAAAATCCAAGCTCTCTTAGACATGCACACACCTCGCAACATTAACGAGGTGCAATGCTTGACAGGTTGGGTAGTTACACTCAACAAGTTTGTTTCAAGAGCAAGCGATAGATGTTTGTCTTTCTTCAAGTCATTGAGCAAATCCTTTGAGTGGACAAAAAATGTGTATTAGCTTTCAAAAGGCTAAAGTAGTATTTGGGTTCCCCAATACTCTTATCTGGAGTGGAGTCGGGGGAAAGGTTGTATCTTTTTCTTGCTATATCCAAAGCAGATACCAGCTCTGCCCTAGTAAGGGAAGAACAAGGAGTTCCAAAGCCAATATATTACACCAGGAAAATCCTTAAGGGAGCTGAAACAAGATACTCAAAGCTAGAAAATGTAGTCTTGGCCTTGGTGACAACAGCATGAAAGCTACGCCCTTATTTTCAAGCCCATACTATTGTGGTCATGACTGACTCCCCCATTAGGCAAGTCTTAGAGAGACCTAGTTATTAGGAAGGTTAGCCAAATAGGTTATCAAATTATGAGAATTTGATATAGTCTATCAACCTAGAACCCCCATCAAAGGACAAGCAGTAAGATTTCGACTAGAAGCAACTAATTGCACCTATGAGCCAACAATTCATGTATAATGGGGAAGTGTAAAACTTGATTTTCTCACAAATCCTTTATTCTTTCCACTGTTCAGAAAAGTGTACTTCCATCCATTCCACCCAATCAAACCATTGTTGGTCTGGGTTAACCCAAGTTTTCAAAGGGGTGAGCCATTGATCCCAATGCTTCTATTGAAGTTGAGGACGATGAAGTGTTAGAAGTTCTCCATGTGAAATGGGGTAATGCTCAGATAATGTTAGTAATATGTTAGACTTAAACGCAAAGCATAGGGCAAAGTTGGAACCAAAATCCTCAAAATGAATTAGTATTCAATTGTCAACGATGTCTCGAATGGCATATTGAAGGTCAACAGAGAATCGAAGGAAAGGTGGTGTGTTTGAAGGAGGGACATCAATGATGATTTGATCTACTTTCCACTTGGACGCAATTTGAAGATTGAGGAAAGATTTAGATTTGAAGATAAGCCAAGGGTGAATCAAAAGAGAATAGAAGGGGTATAAATTTGGGTAAGCAAAAACAGTAACTAGGCCTTTTAAATAATGGTTTAAGGGTCTTTGGCAGTTACTGATTGTTCACTTACCTGATTGAATGAAGTGAATCAACTATTGAAAGTTGCCTTAAGTGAAATTCTAAAAAAGGAAGAACGGATGTGACTGTTCATTTATTTGTGTTAATTACGAGATAAACCCAATTAAATGAGGGGGGGCATTGCTTGGGCTTAAAATATAAAATTATAAGAACATTTGATGCATGTGTTGTTGGCCAGCTTGAAGTTATTAAAAGGTTTCCACGAGTCAAGATTTGAAGAAAATGTGGAAAATGATCAGTCATAGCTTTGGTTTGAAAAAAGGAATAACTGCCTAGCAGTTACAAATCCAATCAACCGTCGATAAAAGAAAACCGTTGAAGGAAGTGGCTATAAAAAAAGAAAAAGAAGGAAGTTGAAGGACAACTGAAACCCCCACAAGACCCACGATTAGGACATTTAGGAGTAGTGCTCAAGTGAGTTTTGAGAAGTAGCTAGTGCTATAATCAAAGGCTGTTAACTTAGTCTCTCTGTAACTGAAATTCATTCGACTAGATTAATAAAGGAGTCTGTTTTTATTGATTCATTATTTCGTGTATTCATCGCTTTAAAAATTCATTCAAGGAAGTCCTGAAATAAGACATTTGAACCCATCTACAAGCCATCATCTGAAAATTATCTATTAATTGAGGCATTCTGTCGATCGCAATAGATTTTGGAGCAACAGTACCATACCAGAGTTGAGTAAGAGTCTTAGATCTTGTTTTGATGAATTGTAGACATGGTAAATTTAAAATAGTAAATTAAATGAAATTATAAAATAAAAAAACCTTACATTTGTCATATATCTATTGAACAAAAAATAGAAGTATGACACTAAAAATGTTTTGGGTATCGTAGTTGAAACAATAGCCACTACATGATTGATGTTCATGGTCCCTCAATAGAGCTGCATTAGATTTGATATTGTCTCTTGCCTCCAATGGAGTGGGGTTTACCGATGGAACCAAACTGAGCCTGAGTCAAAAACTAGAATATTCTAGCTTATTCGTTAGCCTAGACACAATAATTTCCTTTTAATCTTGAATTTAGCTCAACTTGTCTGATTAAAAACATTGAGCTAATTGAACTCAAGTTGGACTTGTACACACATATACACATGTGAAACAGTTTACAGGGATATATTTGCATTTGAATTCGTTAAAGAGACTTCGGCATTCAATTACACTTCACTCAGATCATCTTCTTTTTTGAGACATAACTAGGCAAGAAGGAAAGGATATCCTCCTCCGAGATAGTAGTTTTCGATGAGCCGGGAATAAATTGACTAAAAGACCTCCACTGAAAGGAGATGGTACGTTCCTTTTTTTGGTGAGTGGTGACCGGTGACCACCTCTATAGTACTTTTTTCGCTTAGCCAAGAAAAAATCCAACCTTTCCAAACCCAAAATCCAAATTCATCACTTTCACTGAATTTTCTTAAACATGTAAACAGAAGGACAAAGACAAATAATTTAAGCATCATATTCACACAACCCAGATATTTTCCATGTGCTGTACAAATAATTTAAGTCTATTTTTTAAGTTCATGTAACATTGCCCTTCCATTAATTCCGTTAATAGACGGAGAATGATGAATCTTCGTCCCGAGTCTCTACCCAAAGACTTTTCTGCCAGCCTTGCATGACTTTGACTCTTACTCTTCACTTATCTTCCGTTCTGATCAACCCTGAAAACATAAAATGAAAAAAGGAGTCACATATACATGGAAAGATAAACACAGCCAGAAAAAAAAATAATATACCAAAGATGATGGGCTATTTCATCTTAATTTTTCTTCTCCCATACTTGTTCAGTGGTTGCTCCGCCCAAACTTCAGCTGTAATCACGGGAACTTCTTCAATTTCAATGGCTAGCACCATATTCTACCTTAATTCAAGCCTCCCTTCAATGTGGTACAACAATAACTCAACGAATATGACTATCCGTGGGGATGATGGATCAGTGATAAGAGTAGTCCTCTCAAGACAAAACAGCGTGGGTTATGTTTGTGGATTCTACTGCATAAACTTCTGCTATGAATACTTGCTCTCGGTCGTTGTTGTTGGTATAGGCAATCCAAGTGTAGTTTGGTCAGCGAACAGAGACCATCCAGTGCAGGAGAACGCGACCTTACAACTAACAGGAGATGGAGATTTGGTGCTACGAAACTCAAATGGCACCAAGGTGTGGTCATCCAATACCACAGGAAAGTCGGTACTGGGATTAAACATGACTGAAGCAGGAAACTTGGTCCTCTTTAACAACAATGAAGCCATTGTTTGGCAATCTTTTGATCACCCTACTGACACACTGCTCACTGGGCAGCGCTTAAACGAGGGCCAGAGACTAACTGCGAGTGCCTCTAAATCCAGTTGGACCCGGGGATTGTATTTGTACTATGCCACGTTAACATCGGCCTCTGGTTTTGCTGCATACACTGAAGTCCATCAAGGCCCACCATTGATGTATTATCAATTGGTACCTGATCAGAGTTCACGCAGTAGTGGCAGATCCAATTATGCAGAATTCCAACGAGGAGGGTTCATTGTTAACTTGGGAACATCTCAGCAAACATTTGCGAGAACTAGCATCTATCTACCTGATTCCTACATTGAGTATCTAAGACTTGACAGTGATGGGCATTTAAAGATATACCAACATGATGAAGCAAGGGGATTTTATGAGGTTCTTGATTTGGTTAGCCATGACCTAGGCGTGTGTCAATATCCTCGCAGCTGTGGAGAATATGGAGTATGCCGAGAAGGGGAATGTAGTTGTCCCACAGGCCTAGACAGAGTTCAATATTTTGATCAAAGTCAACTTCAGTTACCCAGTAAGGGCTGCTCTAGATTAACCCCTTTGTCTTGCCACCGTTCCCCAGATCAACACAAACTTGTTGAGTTAATAAATGTTACCTACTTCAATGTCATCAATTCAGTTGCTGCACTTCCAAATATCAGAGACATAAACGGATGCATGGAGGCTTGCCTGCAAAACTGTTCTTGTGGTGCAGTCTTTTTCAGGTATTACTACAATGTTTCAGATGGGTATTGTTTTATGCCACCTGAGATCTTGTCAATTAGAGAATGGCAAATTCCAAATTACAATTTCATGTCAACCACATATATTAAGGTACAAATTCCATATGAGGCACCAAGTCCTTTGCCAGAAGTTGCGCCATCAACTCCATCTCCAAGAAATCAAACAAATTTTGCAGCAATAATTGCAGGTTCTAGTGCTGGTGCGTTTATGCTTGTATGCATTGCAATTGACATCCGGGTTATGTGGTGGGAACGAAACAAAGATGATGAGGACTATGTCGGCCATCTCCCGGGGATGCCTAAGAGGTTTTCATATGAAGAACTACGCGTTGCAACAGAGGATTTTAAGGAGAAACTTGGTGCCGGAGGATTTGGGACTGTGTTTAGAGGAACGCTTGGAGATGGTACTAAGGTTGCAGTGAAGCGGCTGGACAAACTAAGCCAAGCGATGAAGGAGTTCTTAGCAGAAGTTCAATCAATTGGAAGCATACACCATTTTAATATCGTGCAATTGATTGGATTTTGTGCAGAAAGATCTTGCAAACTTCTGGTGTATGAATATATGAGTAATGGGTCTTTGGATAAGTGGATATTCAACAAGGACCAGGGAGTTTGCCTTGATTGGCAAGCCCGAGAGAAGATTATACTTGACATAGCTAAAGGGTTGGCTTATTTACATGAAGAATGCCGACAGAGGATTATTCACCTCGATATCAAGCCACAAAACATTCTGCTAGATGAAAATTTCAATGCTAAAGTCTCTGATTTCGGATTAGCTAAGCTCATAGATAGAGAAGAGAGCCAAGTTCTAACAACAATGAGAGGAACTCCAGGGTATCTTGCTCCTGAATGGCAACTCCTAAGAATCACAGTGAAGGTTGACATCTATAGCTTTGGGATTGTTCTTCTCGAAATAGTTTGCGGGCGAAAAAACTTGGATTGCCAACGTTCAGAATCTAGCTCTCATTTGCTTAAATTGTTGCAAAAGAAGGCCAAAGAGGACAAACTACTTGCTTTAGTTGAGCATTTGGAGGAAGGCATGGAAGATCATAGAGAAGAAATCGTGAGGATGATAAAGACTGCAGCATGGTGCTTGCAAGATGATCACACGAGGAGGCCTTCGATGGCAACAATAGTGAATGTCTTGGAAGGGGTAATGGAGGTGGACCCAAACATCAGCTATAACTTCACTCATGCAATGGGATCTCAAGTTGTAGCAAATGGTCATGCTTCTACACCACCACAAGCTTCTGTTCTTTCCGGTCCTAGATGAAATACAGACAAGTCATAACTCACTCCCCTTGCAATTGTCTCAAGGTGTGCAAAACTACTTCTAGTTGGGCTCCAGAACTTTTCCTTCTAGCTAGTTAGAGAGTCATTTAGTACCATTTTCAATATAGTAGTTTTGCCCAATTCTTACTAAGGGGCTTAGTAACAAAAAACCTTCGTTGATAAATAGGGGTGTCCAGGGCCGGGTTACCCACGGGTCCTGTTATCTGACCGGAAAAAAATAGACCCGATAGTTGCCCCGCCCGAGCCTAATATCCTTTAAAAGAAGGCTTGAGTTTGCCCCCAAACCCATTATCCCGCCCGAAGCCCGGCCCAAGAGTCCGCCTGCAAGCCCAGCTCAGCCTACCCTACCCTATATTTCCTTTGAATAAAAGTTATACTTTTAGACTATTAAATTTGAAACTTTGAAATAAGTCTTTCAATATCGAAATTTGAAATTTTAAAAATTTAGATATTATAAATAATGTATTATTTTCTTTTCCATGTATTAAACATATAAGTTTTAAATGGTAGAGTAAAACAAATGACAGATAAGTTAGTAAGTGTCAACCTAGTTGAGATTTATTCATTCTATTAGATGTAGTTCATTATTTTATTTATATCCATTTTGACTTTATTTTTAATTTAAAAATATAATTTATACAAACATTAAGTTACAAAAATATTCATTATTTTTAAATAAAGATGTATATAAAAAAGCCCACAAACAGGCCCGCCTAACAAGCCCGCCCAATAGGCTCACGGGTTGGGCTGCGGGTAGCCTACCCTTACCCGAAGCCTGGCTTGGCCCATTCAATAACTTACTTGGGTAAGAGCTTGGGCCTACACTACCCAGGCTCGGCCCGACCCATTGACACCCTTATCGATAAATAGTCAATTGCGCACAACCACCTTCAACGATTATGAATTTCACTAAACCCCTCGTAGTTGAAACGAAATGAAAAATACAAAAATAATCTCCAACTGAAGACTGAAGACACTCATGTAGATGTATTTTTACCACACTCTGGCAACCACTCGACCTAGTCACCCTCCACCCCAAGCTCCAATACCACAAAGCCCGTTGGTCAAAAATTAAACCAATAATTGAGAAGTCAGATAATAAACAAGGATAGAAAGAGAAACAAGATTGAATAGGGAGAAAGAGAAAGAAACTTGTAGAGTAAAAAGATGTAATCTACATGGCATGATGATTTGTGTGTTAATAGTATGCTCTAAGAACAATCATATAGATGTTTTGGGGTTACACTAGCAACATTCATTACTTAATTAAATAAAAGGGAAAGTTTATTTATCATGTTTCTACTTTGTTTCATTTTAATATACATGATATAGTCTATAGAGTATAAATTAAGAAGATGCTTTTTCAAGGAGTTGAGAAGAGAAGACCTATACTTCTTAGTACTTAACTCTTAAATGTTCTTAGTCATAGGATTACTATGCGGGCACTATGTAATCCAGATAGATTAGCATACATTATGTTTACTCATATTTGATATGAGGTGATTCGTCCAAGTCACCAGTGTAGGGACACTAAAGCAGGTGTGTGGGTGCTTGTTAGAGAACAAGTACACTGAATGTGACTATTGACAAACATAGGATTTTTCATATGGAGTTTTACATGCCTGTGAATGTTAAATCATACAGTTACAACTATACAATTAATCCTTAGACTTGAGACACCATGGTTGTCTTGTGCATGGACTTCTATGTTTTAACCATATAACATATTAATATACTAATCATGTAACTTGGATATATATTGTTGGACACAGTTAGACATGCATGAAGACTTATGAGTGTAATGAAATCTGTCACCCTTAGTAATTAAACAGAGAATGTACTATGTGATATTCTGGGATATGACTTAAGGAGTCCTTGTCCAAGGAAGAATGACAATTAGAAAAAGAGTTTTTAATTGATCATTAAGAGTTATAGTCCTAACATCAAACACATAAGATTGAGTTAAGGGGTTTGACAGTAATTTCATACCCTAATAATCCAATTGGGGCATTGTGTGATAGAAGGATTGAATAGTTGTAGACTGAATGAGTTCTTTACTTCATGTTATTCGGAGGTTAATTATGATATTCTACTAGGTGTCACTCATGATTAGTAGAAGCCCGAAGAATGAAATTAATATAAATATATTAATTATTCTTCATAAAGGGAGAATTAGAAGAGTTCTAATTCAAGTTAAATTAAAAGAGTTCTAATTCAAGTTAAATTAGAAATAGTTTTAATTTGAGACGCTACTTGTAATTAATATCAAATGCCTATAATCGAGTATGTTTGAATCCATAGGGTCACACAGAATACAATTGATTGAAAATTGAAGGATAAAGGAGAGAAAACAAATTAAGAGTTAATTGGGGGTTGAAAACCTAATTAAGAGTTAATTAGAGACTTTATTACAATTAATAGTGAATAAATGAGTTATATGTTATTATGAGATAATTGCAACTAGACCCAAGCTAGGATTAGAATCTTCTAAGGGTCTATAAACACCTGTAAGAGGTGGATATGATATAACAATTCTCTTGCTGGCACAAGAAAAATATTCCTCATTCTCTCTTCACTAGTTTATCAATGGTAGAGGTAGATCGTCCAAATTTATCAATTCGTGTGGAAACTGATAGAGGCCATATAATTGTGAGGCTCGGGGTAAAGATTAAATGCAGATTTAAAATTCAATGTTTTTGGGAATGCTTGAAGATCATTAAAGGCACGCTTAAAGAGATAACCTTTAATCTTCTCTATAAATCTAAGGTTTTTCGATTTGTATTAAACATGAGTACATGTTTGAATGAGGGATCAATTTTAATTTTTTTTTAAAATTCCACTGCAATTATTAAATAATTCCTTTCATTATGCTGGCAGAACAAACCAGATGATAGTTAAAGAAAGAAAAAAAAAACCACCCAATGAAGCTAAAGCCGTAGAAATTGAGAATATTCGGAGAGATAGAAGGGAAAGTAACCTATATATAGAGAGAGAGAGAGAGAGAGTGAGTATACTTATCTCACCCACTCATCGCTTCATAATTCGATGAAACACTTAGAGCATTTTCAATCATGACTCAAATTTAGATTCAAATTTAAATTTGATTCTAAATAGTCTAAAAAGCTTCTCCAACCTTGGACCCAAACTTATATCAAATTAAGAAAAAAAAATTCTGGACCCAAATTGAGGGAGACTCAAATCTTATACCAAATTTTCAACAGTAACTTTTTACCCTATCCAAACAAGACCTAAAAGAATCCTTCAACGCCAAACTACCTCTCCCAACCTCTCTTCAAAGATTTTTCCAACGCAGATGACAACCGAATCAATCGCCGGTCCTTTGAAGACTGAAAACTTGTAGGTAAGTTTGTATGATTGCTACAATTCATAGATTTGTGTTTAGGTTGTTGTATGATTTCTCGTGATTGGTGTTTAATCACCGGTGATTGTCGCTTAATCACTGGTATTTAGTTTGTTGTATGAAAGATGGACATGGATTGTTAATTTATGAATCACGAAATCACTAAATATGACATTCCCCTTACTGTCCAAAGTCCAAGCGGCACCTTTACTTAATCATAATTACCCCTTGCTTCTTTGTTGTATTGTTGTAGGTCATTGTGCCTATGAATACCCAAAGAGAGAGAAACCGGGACTATTATATTCACGTGTTAATCTTCCTCCTTTTGTTTTAACAACTAAAAATTAAGACGGATGGAAAAGATTGATCAATATAAGTTTAAAATAATCATCTTCTATCGGTTTCGTGTAGGTCTTTTTTCTTTTATTTGTTTCGAGTTATGGTTTAATATTTCCAAAATTGTGACATTATTTATCTCATAAAGAGACACAATTGAAGAAATTTCTTCATCATTATCATCATCGGATGAAGAAGAGGAAGATGAAAAGGAATTGAGCAAAAGATAATTTGAAGGATTCATTTCTATGGGAATGTTGAAGAAGGGAATGAATGATGTAGGTTATTTATAGAATATTTTGCTTGTAATTTAATTTAGCGGGAAGAATTAAAATGGGGAGGGCATGCATTTTTGGAGGGATTGAAATCTTGAGAGGGATAGAGGTTTTGGAGGGAATGAGACAGAAATGGGAGAGGATTACATGTTTGGTGGAAACAATTAATAAAAATGAGTTTTGGGATAATAAGGAATTTTTTTAAAAGAATTGAGAAAATATTTGAGTTTACTCATTGGAGTGCTCCATAACAAATCAAGCTTTTGATTCAAATTAAGACTCAAATTTGAGTCATGGTTGGAGATGTTATTAGACGGCCATTTTTCAGTAAATCGAGTCAAGATTTGAACAAAAAAAGAAACTTTAGAATGTTGACCATAAGATTTCTCACTGGGGAGAGGGAGAGAGAGAGAGAGACGTGTAGAGGTCTAAAGAAAAATAATAATTTCTTTTTCAAAACAATATTTTGGGTAAATTAAATGAAAGGTTAGTTGTTGAGCGACACACTTCTGAACAAAATAACTTCCATTTGCACCACTCGAATAAAGACTATATTAGGGCATGTTTGTTTGAAGTACAGAGTTTGATCAGATTACATAATTGATTTTATTTTAGGGTTAATTGCATTGGAGGTTCCCAAAATATGAGGTTTGTCTCATTTTGATCCTTAATGTTTCAATTGCATCATTTCGATCATCGAAGTATTGAATATATTTTCTACAAGTGGATAACGTCCACATTGCTAACGATTTTTTATCATAAACTTGTCACGTAATACCTAAATATGGATAAAAAATAATTTTGATAACTCTTAAACAAAATTTGAGTACCTCTTGACAAAAAAAATGTGTTATATGGGTAGTTTTTGACCAAAATTTAAATAGCTTATGATCAAAACTGTGCAATTTTGGTAAATATTTAACCAAATTCGAGTAAAAATTTAGTCAAGAGTTATCTAAATTATTATTTTTTTCCATATTTAAGTGCCACGTGACAAATTTATGATAAAAAAATCTTTAGCAATCTAGACACTGTCTGCTTAAGGGACCATATATAAAGATATTCAATATTTAAAGGACTAAAATGATACAATTAAAATATTGGAGATCAAAATGAGACATATTAATTTGATAAAAAAAAAAGCACAATAAATCAATGCATAAATATTTGGTTTATAAGGACATTTTAATCTT